CATGGAACATTCTAGTAGGTTTAGGTCATAGATAAATTAGTCTAAGTTTCTGTAGTTGTAAATTAATGTATATGAAAGTGTACATTAATAAAAACCAGAGGCGTGACCTCACCTTAATATTAAAAAAAAAAAAAAAAATTAGGTGTGACATATCGTGTGACTGATAGTCCATTGCCAACCCTGCCCTGTAATTTAATATCATGTGACAAATTTAATGTATTAAAAATACTTAAGAGTACGTATCTACTTAAAGCGTTAATGGATCTGCTGGTTCTATTAAATAACGTTTAAAATGTGTAAATACTTAGAACCCAAGAGATTCCTGCAAGCTCCTACAATTTGATAATTAATACACACACATTACTAATTAATAAGCCTATTTATATGACTATTTGTATCTTCATATAAATTTAGACAATTGCCTCTTTCGTAACTGAAAGTTACTAAAATCCTCTTAACGCGTAATTGCAATTACTTTTATATTTTACTTAAGCATAAACACGGCAATTGTTTTCAACCGTTTAACATATCCGTCACTAAAGTAAATTAGTTATACCGAACTTATAAGAGGTAGTTCGGGTGTAAAAATATGCATCACGCGAAAAAGAGATACGTAACGTTGTGAAAGGGAAAAGTCGTACAGGATCAATGTCGAAGTGGTTCGAGTCGATTTAACCAAATTGGGTAAAAAGCCACCCTAGCTGGCAGTTATGACAGTTATGGCAACTATGGCGGCTATGGCAGCTATGGCAGTTATGACAGTAATGGTACATAGGGAAGAAATGGTAGAAGTGTTAGTAAAAAATCTATACTAACAAAAATGTATATAAAGTCTCAGTGTTTTATCTAAAATAAAGATAACTCCCTTGAGTTCAAAGTTCCAAGTTAAAGAAATTAGAGTATTTAACTTGTGATTCACTTTTATAGTGTGAAGCTCTGCGAGTTCTAAACTTCGAAAGTTCTTTAGTAGAAGTGTTGGGTTCTACTAATTCCTCCGATAATTAAAATCTGTAATAACGATTGGAAATAGCGACCAAATCCCGTGATTCTGTATAAGGAAAATCGTGACATAGTCTAGAGCTCTAATTGACCCTAGTTACTCGAACCAAATCAAACCACGCCTTAATCGAAGCCTACCAGCTAGGGTACAGAGAAAAGATTTTGTAGATTTAGTAGATTCTGTGTTGAATTTTAGAGAAAAAGCGACCCTTGTTAGCTTAGATTTTGTAGAGATACGATTTTCACCGTCACGACGTACGTAAACAATCGGCGAGTTTCTTTCTTAATATGCTGGATGTAAAATACGTTCAAATCCTTCAAGGTAACATCTATAAATCTAAAAAGTATTGTCTTAAGCCGACTAATCCGCCGCAGCTAAACCGACTAAGGGTGCTCTCAAGCATCTAAATCAATAGGTCTGAGTTCAATTTTTAATTAGTGGGAAATAAATTATTCGGTCAAGCGAGTTCAATATCGCGATGAAAGAAAAGATGGTTAGAGACCATCTTTTTTTATCATAGAGTTGTGCTGATTGGCTAAAATTTAATATCCACGTTTCGCAACGTGAATCTTCGACAAAAGTTACTTTAAGTTTACTTCAATTAAGACCAGACCGATTTGATTTGGTGGTTTACATTACCCTCCCCCTCTCTTAGTAAAAAAAATTTTTTGGGATATACATATATGATCTAATACCGGGCGGAATTAAGATCAGAAATTGTAATGATCCGAAAAATTCCGAAGATAAAATGAACAAACATAAAAGACGAGTAAGGTCAGGCCGATAATTTCCGATTGAAAAAAATTTACTATGTATACGTTCCATTCCCCCTTTTGAAAAAGGGATGTAATGTAAACCACCAAATCAAGCCGGTCTCGCCTAATCGTAGTATTTGTGCACGATCTCTATAGCTAGCGAATTACATGGAGAGAGATACATGAGAGCACTCTAAGCTAGCAAACATGATTATGACCGGCTTGCTAACGCAACTAAGAATCACACGAGATAGGTAGCCATGGCATAAAAATTTCGCAATTTTGTGATCTCTGACAGCTTCCGATCTAGCCTAAAAGTCGAGATCTACCTGGTCAATATTGAATAAAAAATTTTGGTAAAAGTTCCAAATATTCCGTAAAATAAACCGTCAGCCAGACGCTTAGTTGAGGTTTTAGTCTGCTGACTTAGTGGCTAAATAATCAATTTTATTTAGCACTATTAAAAAGTAAAATAAGTAAATAGCTTACAACGAATTTGCTGGTTTTTATAAATACAAGAATCACATATTGGAATTTTATTAATAATTTAAAAACAAAATAAAAAAAAATTAAATTAATAAAGTGTTGATTTAGTCAAATAAATCATCTATTTTCTAGTGCGCCACATTGATATATGATGCAGAAATTTTGATTAGTCGTATAAGTAATTAATACCTATAATCGACAAATAGTTAATAAGTATTAGCTTGGAATTGGTCCTATAGCAATATGTGAACCATTTTGACCACTTGAATTTCCAAAATTCTTTGATGGCGGAGGGGGCTTTGGAGTATTTCTTTTAATATAAAGTTCAATTTCTTGTATAATTTCTTGTATATTTTGTGATAATACGGTATTTTCAGAAGCTCTAAATTCATTTTTGTTTTTAAAATAATACCAAGAACACACTATATCATATATTTCTGATGACGTTGGTCTTTTATCAGGGTCATCATCCCAACATCGTTCCATCAATTCTGCAAAACAAGGTGGTGTTCTCTTTAATATTGGAGGTCGCATCCCATTAATTAATATACTATTTTTCAAATCTTCATCATATTTACGATAATGGTATGGTATAACTCCAGCAGAAAGCATCCACATAATAAACCCAAAGCTATAAACATCTGATTTAGATGTAAGAGTATTGTCTTTGAGGGTTTCTGGTGCAATAAATGGCGCTGAACAATTTAATTTTTGTGCAATAGAATTCTTACTATTACTTATTGGTCCAAAATCTGTAATATAAGCCATTCCATTTTCACCAATTAAAATATTCCGACAATTAAGATTACGGTGAGTTAAACCATTTTGATGAATAATTCTAAGACCATTTGCAATATTAGCTAAAATAAGCAATTTATCATCGAACCATTTCATTTTATCAAAATTTTCAAATAGATATTTTTGTAAATCGCCATGTTCTGCAATTTGCATTACGAATAAATATCCCTTGGCATCTTTGGTAAGACCATAAAAACGAATTATTGGTGAAATTTCAGGGTTGTATACAGTACTGGCTGTGTAAAAATTTGAATCAGTAAAGCATTTTAAACTCTTGTAAAGCTATAAACATAAAACATTATTAATAATACATATATATAAATAGATAACAATTCTTTAGCTAAAATAATAATATTATTAATTACCCCCATCAAACTCTCATGAAGTGTGTTATTCTTTAGTCTTCTCAGGGCAACTCGAATTCCTTTCGCTCTTTTGAACTTATTTCCATACATCAAACTCGGCCCGCTTTTCCAAAAGGCACCATAAACACTTCCAAATCCATCTTGACCAATTTTTTCTCTTTTTTCAAATTGTTCATATGGAATCCACTCCACAAAATCAACAGGAATTTTTGAATTCTCCTGTGTATATTTTATAACTTTATCTATTATTGGCTCTCCACTGGTCCAATTGTCAGAATTTTTCTCAAAATATTTAACACCACATTCTTGACACCATGTTGGAAAAGGCCTTTCTTTCACACATTTTGGGCACAAGAATGTCATATCTAAACAAATTTCTGTGTAAACCATCTTGAAAAATTTAAAATCTTTGAATATAATGGCTAAAATGTAAAATAAAAATATAAAAATAGTCATTGAAGCCACTATTATTATATGAAGCATATTTTTTGTCATGATATAATAATATATAAAATAGCCAGCCATTTGAAAGTAAATGCTAAATGATTCTACCATAAAAAACAGAATAATAGCTTGATAGAATAGTCTATTTGAACCCGATGGGAAAATGTTTCCGTTAGAAACATTAAAAAGAAAGAGTAACCATGTAATTCTTACAAGCCAGAATGTGACAAAAATTGAATTACTTCTTGTTAACAAATACATTGAGGGAGAAACGTAAGAATATAAAAACTTTAAACCAAAATATAAACCAGCAAATACCGCCAAGGTCAATAAAATAAAAAATCCAAAAAATATTGGATATAACGTCATCAATCGTTTTTGAAACGAGAACAAATCTCGTAATTTCCAAATTGTTCTTCCATAAGGAATGAAAACAATCACGTAAAAATAACTGAAAAAAGGATATATCGCATATGACAATTCACAAATGATAGGATATAAAAATAGAAAAGGAAAGAAGAAAGGAAGTGATGTTGGGAGAATGAATTTACATCCAAATATAATAACATTTTTCAGAAATGTCCAAATTATTTTAATCATCGTTCTAAAAACAACGCTTTCTTTCTATTTCTCGAGAAAAAATTGTCTTGCATCTGTTTACGAATAAGAGGATCCTTTTAAAAATTCTAGTAAATAAAATAATAATATTTGCGCAGCCCTATTTAGTCACACATATATAAAAGATAAAACTAATATTGTTTGACAAATGAATTCCTTATTTAGTAATTTATTAGATTATTTTACCAGATAAGCAATTCGACTATGTAACCACGAGGCAAAATATTTATAATTAGTACTCAAATTAATTTATCTTGTCGAACTAGTCTCAAAAAGGAAATTTGCGTTGCTAATTTCAAGTTTTACAGTAAATCATTGTGTAAATCATGTAACTTTCAAATGCGATTTTCACTAAAGTGTTATACATAAACCTATCCTCTTCTCGTAAAGATATTCGCTAATCTAGTTTACGCCAAATATCCTAAAATGAAATTTATGTTATTTGCATCTAAGCAAAAAACTATATTGTTATTAATTTTTGTTCTTACCATTTATTGCTGGGTTATAGATGGTCATTTAGCATCCACAAATGTTCTAATAGGTTCTAAGC